AGGATATGGATGGTGCCTGCATGGGTGGTTGGTTAGTATATACGTACGTATTAAATATAATATGCTTTTTTACCTTGACATTATTTTACACAAATTTCATAGTTAAAATGATACACAAACACATTTTAAAAACACTATATTTTTTATTATTAAAGATTTTAATTAAATAATAATATTATATTGAGTCGGGTCAGATTTTATAAAAATTGATATTAGTTTAAAATTAGGTTTAGAGTGAAAATCCTTTGATTTGACTTGGAATAATAATATATTTTTCTTCTATATATTTAAGGATAATTTATACAATATATCTCTTTCTATTTTTTTAATTAGATCTCTATTTTATTTAATAAAATTATTATTTTTGTTTAGAATCAATATAAATTTTTATCTTAAAATTATGGTCAAATTTTAGATCAGATCAAATTCGAGTAAAAGGTATATGATTCTCGAGTTAAATTGATGAAGAAAACCCACCCAACTCAATATGCTGTTATTCCTATGTAGATGAAAGGAAACTTGGATATAGAAAACAAAACAACATCCTCAATGTATTTTTGCAACTTTCATGGCATAATTGAATAAAAGGAAAAGACATGTACAAGTACTATATTGACAATGTTGCAAGAAACAAGGGGGAGTGAACAGTTAAAAAACAAGGGAAGAGAGTGAAGTAACTAAACTCCAAACAAAGTACACACCAAAAATACATGTTTCTCGTTACCTTCATCAGTGTCATCATAGCATTGTATCCCCAAACATCCCCTCACGGGTCTCCCTTCATCTCTTTGGTCTTCATAGGTTATAATGACCCTGTGACAGCGATGGTAATAATTTGTGAGGGATCGGGTTAAAGATAAAAAAATGTTTGATCTGAATATATATATATATATATATATAAATATTAGGGTGAACAACATGTTTAATGTGTCAATTATTATTTTTATTCTGTTTTAATAACTTAATTATTATTTTTTTTAAATCATATATATTGTTAAGTTTTGATTTCATTTTGATCATCCATCATTAAAAATTAACAGAAATACCAACATGACATTTTTTATAAAAAAAATTATTGATGATGTGACATTATCTTATGGTGACACATCAACATCACTATTAACTTTTTAATGTAGATGACCAAAATAAAGTTAAAATGTAACGTTAGGTATGATTTTGAAATAAAAAATAGTTGGATGATCAAAATTGAATAAAAGTGATGGTTGAGGGTACTAAATGTGTAGTTTACCCTAAATAGTATAATATACATTCCTTCATATTTTTTAATTAGATCTTTATTTTATCGAATAAAAATCAAATGTTTATATTCAAATTAATTCGGACATGTGTTTTTACCATGAAATTTAGGTCAAGTTTTGAATCAGGTAGGGCGAAGAATAGAATACTCAGATCAACCAAAAATTAGACTTAATCTGACTCATTGTCATCTCTAAATATAATCTTAAAACTTCCGTTTTTAAAATCAAGCCTAAATGTTGTCTAACTTCCCCCTTGATTTTACCATATGAATTAAAAAGGACTAAGGTTTTGTTTTTCCCCTTTGGATCCATCCCTGACTATGTCCCATAACCCTAAACCCTCACTGGGACAAACCTATGTTGTAGGCTGGAGGGGCAATTTCCTCCACTGTAAAATTTTGATGGTTTAATTATTTTCAAATCATTAGTATTTTTAAAATTATTATAATTAATTAAGTCCTTCCTCATTTCAAAATTTGTTGGTTTAATTGTTTTTTAGAACTCTTTTAGTTTTAAAATGAAATAATGTATTTGCTATAAACTTTTATGGTTTAATTATTCTCTAAGGTCCTTCAAATTTTCAGATTTATTCAATTTTAAGACCTTATTTGTTTCAAAGTCAAACTATTTACACCCTCATAGTTCAATTATGGATCTTTCCTTGACTCTCATCGTCTATCTTCATATCCCAAGTCTCTAAGTAGCTTAATTAGTAATTACACACTTCTAAACCATTTGTACCTTAATGTGCATAAATTTTTAATCATCAAAACTGATTTAAAATTAGTTAAACAAATTTTTGGGTTCGGATTAGAATTGATCAACTTGCAAATGACCATTGTTTTGCTTATAATCCACTTCTACCAAACCATGGTAAAAGCCTTACAAACCCTAATAATTCTTGTAGTGTTGGGATGTGGACAATATTGGCATGTATATGGTACTAACAACAACCGAAGGTCCACCTTTTGTCGTCATGCAATTGCAAAGGGTGTTACAGTTAAACATGGCAGCCTTTTCTCACAAAAGGGTCAAGTTCCCATAAGTGAAGGTTCGTACAAAGAGTTATGGACACCGGAGGAGACCTGAAAATGAAGCTATTTTGGGAGTGTATGTGCTGAAATTAAATGCTACGTCTGCTATATTCTTTTGTTCTTTAAGAAAAGTAAGCAAAACATGATTAAAGAGTAAAACAATGAAATCATATTTAGTTTGTTTAACGGGATGAGATGATAATATTATTTTTAAGTAAGATTTGAGATTCAAATTTTAATATTATGAACATAGATAATTGGTAGAGCGCAAGGCTCTTAGGCTTAGTTTGTTTTCACTGTGCAACCTCTTCAAACCTCTTATGTCTGTGCCGCGCAGACCACGCGTAAACATTAGGCTTCGCAGACCGTTTGTTTTTTAGAAGACATAAGCTATTCTAACGTCTGCGCGAGCTCTTATTGGTGCAGACATTGTTTTATGTCTTCAAAGATCTTCAAACCTCTTCAAGAACAATTATAAAATATAGTTATTTATTAAAATAATTTTAAATATTTAATAAGTTTATTTATTTTAAAATAATCTATTTTAAAATAATTTATTATAAAATAATTTATTTTAAAATAAATTATTAAAAAATATGGATTGATTTATTTTAAAATAATTTATTTTAAATAATTTATTAGTATGGATTGATTTATTTTAAAATATGGATTGATTTATTATTGTAGTTGTATAGATTGATTTATTTTAAATAATTTATTAGTATGGATTGATTTATTTTAAAATATGGATTGATTTATTTTAAATAATTTATTAGTATGGATTGATTTATTTTAAAATATGGATTGATTTATTATTGTAGTTGCATAGATTGATTTATTTTAAATAATTTATTAGTATGGATTGATTTATTTTAAAATATGGATTGATTTATTTTAAATAATTTATTAGTATAGTTTGATTTATTTTAAATAATTTATTAGTATGGATTGATTTATTTTAAAATATAGATTGATTTATTATTGTAGTTGTATGGATTGATTTATTTTAAATAATTTATTAGTATGTATTGATTTATTTTAAATAATTTATTAGTATGTATTGATTTATTTTAAAATATGGATTGATTTATTTTAAATAATTTATTATTGTAGTTGTATGGATTATTTAAATTTCAGTATTGTAAAACTAAAATGATTTAAATCTCAGTATTGTAAAACTCTTTTAAGTTTAAAAAATTAGTTTATTTATATTTCAGTTCATTTTAGCAGTTTGCAGACGTTACAAAACAAACAGTCTTCTTCTTGCAGACTGTATACTTTTGGTCCACCTCTTCTGCTGCAGATGTGGTCCGCAGACTGCAGACCTTTTACCTCTGCAAAAACAAACACCACCTTAACCTTGTGGTCGTGAGATCGAGTCTCACGGTGGGTAATTCATTATTATGTCTGTCGGATGTCTTCCACGGAAGCTGATCCCAACCTGACTTTGGGGGCAGCCTACTACCCTACCTCTCCCTCACCCCCATTTCATATGGGAATATGGTTAACTAATTTTGTGTGTGTAGATAATTGGATTTGATGGATCTTCCTAATATGAATTTCTATTGTACTCATTGTGAATTAGATGAGATGTTTTGGTGTGAGTTTCTTGTACTCAATTTAGATTAGTCAACTAATATCACCGATTGTTATTTAGTTTAACGGGGTGAGACATTTGAACATCCTTTAAGTAGTATCTAGAATTCAAATTATGATATTTTGAACGTAGAAAATTAGATTGGATGAATCATTTTAATATAAATTTTCATAATATTTTATTTAATTAATTAATTAATAAATCAGAGGTGGTAATTATAGAAGAAATAAGAAAAAGTTGTAAAGCAATGAAGCAATGAGACTTATAACGGTTAGTGTTGGGGCTGTATGATAGAGGGGTTTATGTGGGGATGTGGAATTGTTTTTTTTGCATCGAAGTTGAACCTCACTTGTTATTGTTAACCTTTTGTTTTATGAAAAGAGTGAAAATTCTCACTATGGTCCCTCTACTATATGCTAAAAATTTGAATTTAGTCTATTTGACAATTCGGTCATTTAGTTCTATAATATTTTTTAGTTCGTCCAAATTGTTATCACTCAGAGGTGAATATAAAGAGTGACAAAAATGGTGAAATTACATTTTGGCCCTTTTTAAAAATTAATTATTTGATTTAGACCCTTTAGCATAAAATTTGTGACATCGGCACCAATCATTTACGTTTTATCCTGATCCCCCAATTATAAAAAGAATCATGGCTCCATCCTTGTTGTTGTTAACTATTCTTATTGATGTGTTGCTTGAATTTTATTTTAAAAAGCACGTATCAATTAAATGCATAAGAATATTTTTAAAAGAATTCAAGTCAACACTTTAACGAAAATAATACTAAAAGAAGTATGCTAACAACCAATCAATTGAAGTAAGTAGTGAGAAACCCTAAGTTGGCACCAAAGATCAGCGTTAAAATCTTAAACATGCCTGTTTCGGTACCCCCCAAAAAAGCACACCATAAAAGTAAGAGAACCAATTTCAAATTTTAGCATAGTGGAGGGACCACAACCAATATTTGATCTGAAAAACACCATATTGTTTCTTAGTTCATATTATAACGGCGTTATCAGCCGTCACTTCGGCTATATATATATATATATAAGCATCTCCTTCGCTCTATTCTATGCTCTCGTCGTCACTATTCGACGTTTTCTAGTTTTGAACATCTCCTTCCCTCTTTCTCTACTTTTCCATTCTTTTAATATTCAGTCTCTTTTCCTCTGCAAGTTTATTTTAATAGTTGCGTGAAGCAAAATCTTGGAATTTTGGTGTTTTTGTGTTACTCAAAGATCTGAGTTTTGAGTAAAATTCCAGTTTTCTCTTTCGGTTTTTCTCGGAAAATGGGGAAGAAAGATCAGTGGACGGAAGAGAAAATGAACCAAAGAGTTCAATCCGTTCTTCAACTCGTTAAGAAACAGTCACCATTAACACCCAAACATGTAAACATTTTTTCCTTCGTTTCCCCCAGATTTTCAGCTGTTTTCCGTCAAAATAAAATGATTATGACAATGGGTTTCCCCTAGTTTCATTTAAAAAGAAAGTGTTTTTGATTCATGGAACAGGAGAATTTTTGCAGTAATGCTTGCGTCGAGAGATTTCTAAGAGCAAAAGGTGATAATGTGAAGAAGGCTGCTAAGCATTTACGAGCTTGCCTTGCTTGGAGAGAGAATGTTGGCACTGGTAACCATTGGTTTTCACATATTATATTTAAAATCGAAATATATAAATTCAAATCCGACCCGAAACCGAAATCTGAATTGAAATGGTTCTTTTTGTTTTTATATACCAAAGAATCTTGCTTTTTTGGTTCAGTTTTGAAAGTTAAAAAAGTGATACTTCCATATGATTACTGCCACTTGGAGTCTGTTTATTCAGCTAACAAACAAGATTAAGATCTCTAATCTTATTAATTAAAATAACACTTGCTTTTTTGGAAAAAAATTACAGAAAATTTGATAGCAGATGAGTTCTCAACTGAGATAGCTGAGGGAGTTGCTTATATTGCTGGTCATGATGAAGAGTCCAGGCCTGTCATGGTAATTTTCTCTTAAATTTATTATTATTAATTAATTAATACATATAAAATTGAAAAATGATTTATTTATTTTTTTCTCACAGGTATTGAGGATGAAACAAGATTATCCAAAGTTCCACTCACCTAAACAGTGAGTTTGTCTTGTTTAACTAACCCAAAATAACAAAGATCTTAACTGTTCTTGATGTCTTCTAGGTTTACTCGTCTTCTGGTTTTTACATTGGAGGTTGCAATATCAACCATGTCCAAGAACATCGAAATGTTCGTTCTACTCTTCGATGCAAGTAAGTTTTCACTGGAGATCTTCTAATATCCGATAATCATATTAAACTCTTCGTTTCGATATTACTTTTTCCGTTACAAATTCAAGCTCTAAACTTTATTTAATCGTTGTATCATGGAACTAGTAACCCATGTTGGATATCACCGGCAGGTCCTGAGACAACCTCAGATAATGTCCGGAGTGCGGTTTTTTTAATCAGAGATTATGAGAATTTAAATTTTGGTTTGGGTGCAGGCTTTTTCAGATCAGCATCTGCTTTCATGAACTTGTTGCTGGCAGCATTGAGAATTGTGGGCGAGTACTACCCAGGACGACTTCACAAGGCCTTTGTCATCGACCCCCCTTCATTGTTTTCTTATCTTTGGAAGGTTTATATTTCGAAATCTTTGATGGAAATTTATTGAATTATTACAAAAATAAAATTATATTGTATAAAATTATGATAAAATTTTAAAAAAATTAATGATAATTTTATAATAGTTTGATAAAATTTAATGATTATTTTATAATTTTTGAAACTTTAGTGACTAAAAAGATTAATTCATCGTAATTTAGTGATTTTTTGTGTATTTTACCCTTATATTTTTATACATTCCTATGATATGCCTATTGGTGATATTATGAGAGTATTTTTAATTATGTCATTTTGCAATAGTTTGATAAATGATTATTTTATAATTTTTGAAACTTTAGTGATTAAAAATATCAATTCATCATAGTTCAGTGACTAGTTGTCTTTTATTCATTCCCTATGATATGTCCATTGATGATATTATGAAAGTAGTTCGGACAATGTCAAATTAAAATGTAAGGAGTAAATTTTAAATGTGAACATTATAGAGGGACCAAAACTGATATTTGACATTTTCTCTATCTTTTGCAGGGTGTTCGTCCGTTTTTGGAATTATCAACGGCTACGATGGTGGTTTCATCGCTAGACTACGAAGAATCACTAGAATTCAATGGCTTCACATCATACCCGAGAGAGTCATCGCTCCGATTTGACCCATCGTCGATCAAATCGACGGCCGAGATCGGCTCGTGCTCATCGTCCCGTTTCTCCTTCACCGTATCGCATCATTTCGACTCTCTTAAACCATGGTATCTCACCCTGACGACCGACACGTCATCATCCAAAGTCGGACCCACCGCCAGCCCCTCCCCTCTCGGCCCGGCCTTAATCTCGCCACTCAACGCGCGGTCGCTCTCGTTCGCATCATCGGCCGCCGGGACGCCGAGCGGCAACATCAGCATGAGGAAGAGCTTGTTCCCGTCTACCCCTCTACCGCAACGCAGCAAAGGCTTCGAGTCCGTCAAGGTCAACCACCCGCGGACACCACGGCCGTCGTTCCTCCAATCGCCGGCGATGTTTTTCCGGAGAGACGGACACGTCAGCACGAAGGCGGAGAAGTCTAGAGAATCGTTCCTGCCGTATTTGAGATTCTACCGGAGGCCGTACGATGAGATGATTTATCGGTCAATGATGCGGCCACCTTTAGGTGGCTTGATCTCCATCGTTAAACGTCGCCACATGTCCGTATCTCAACGGTTCTAGACCAAAAAAAGGAATAAAAGAAAAAGGCAAAGAGAAGACTGCATAAGATGGGGGGGGGGAATACTAATAATTCGATTAATTATTTGTTGACTTTTGTCCAACGTTGTCACTTGATTATGGCCATGTGATTATAAACTCAATGGTCAAATCATGTTTTTATCCCTTACTATACTAGAATTTTAAGATCTAATCCTTATACTTTTATAACTACTAATATTCAACCTATTAATCCATTAATTCAAATTAAGTACTGTAAATGTTTATTATGAGATGATCTTCTCAACCCAATTACCCTATACACAACCAAGGACAGGTTCATGAAGAGTAGGAGGGTTAAGTGCCCTCGAGAAATTTTGGTTTAATAACCAAAGTTTTTATTATTTTAAATTTAAATAATTTATTCCTATCAAATTTAGTTCTTAACTACGTTCATTTATATAATATTATCATTTAAGTATTTATCCTTGTTTAAGAGATATAACGTCTTATTTCTTTAAATCAACTAATTGTTAGATATAGTAAAATAATCGAAATTAGGTACGAACCAAACTGTTTCAATGGTTAAAGGAATGATTGTTATTCCTAGTGATCTCATGTTCGAGCACCATAGATTGTAGTGTATTTGAGTGTTTATTATCAAATAATTAAAAATATTTAGAATAAATACTATCACTAATAAGATCCTTAGATTAATAATAAAAATGATCGAAAACAAAGTTTGACTTTACAACTAATACCAGAAATTTATTGGGGGAGACAACGTGCGAGGTGGGATGTGAAAAAATGTGCAAGAATAAGAACATGGTGTAGCCTAAAAGAATTGTTTAAGTAATGTCGGCGTCGTTTTGAGTTTATGGAGGCGAAGCAAAAGCATTTGGGAAGACGACAGCGTGGTCGAAACGTTGAGCATTGCATTGGAAATCATTGTACCAAAGCGTTGAAAATAAGTACGACTACTACTATATATATATATAAAAAAAGAGCACATTTTTGTATATATTATTTGTTTCAAGTTTCCGGGAGCTACAGAATCTATGACTTTACATGTCATGGACTTTGGTTTTTCAGATGAATAAAGTAAAAGCAAAAAAGAAAAAGTGAACATTTGAGTTTAAAATTTTGAGCCAAGTAAGTTGTAATCAGAAATGAAGTTACAAATCTATTTAAAAGATAAGATATAATGTATTAATAAATTGATTTCAGTGGTTAAAAGAATAATTGTTATCTTCAGAGGTTTCGAATTCAATCACGAAAATGATTAAACATCTATTGTCAAATTATTAAAAAAATTTCGAACATGTACTATATTATAATCACCATATACTAATTAAAAAAAGATAAAATTAAAAATTAAAAGATAAAATTAAAAATTAAAAATTCTAAGTAGATATATATCCATGTATATTTAAAATTAAGAACTTGGAAGTCAGTAGTTCTCGAGTAGGGGTGTAAACGAGCCGAGTCGAGCTCGAGTATTGCCGAGCTCGACTCGAACTCGAAAACTTTAAATGTAGGCTCGACTCGACTCGAAAACTCGCGAGTCTAAAATTTTCAAGCTCGACTCGAACTCGAAAGATAATATTGAAACTCGACTCGAACTCGAAAAGGCTCGAACTAAAAAAAATTCAAGAGATCGATTGAAGCTCGATTGAAGCTCGATTTTGAGCTCGATTCAAGCTCGAACTCAAACTCGAATTTGAGCTCGATTCAAGCTCGAGCTCGATTCAAGCTCGAGCCCGATTCAAGCTCGAGCCCGATTCAAGCTCGAACTCGATTCAAGCTCAAACTCGATTCAAGCTCGAATTCGAACCTACAAAAATCTTATATAACATTTAAAATATATAAATAATTTTCCCTTTAATCAACCATCACCAATACATTATAATATGAATGTATGAAATATAAAAAATCTAAAAAAATAAAAATACAATTACAAGAAATTTAGGATAATTAATATAAGCTTTGAAGTTTTTTTATAATAATTATTACTATTATTATTACTCATGTTTATTATATTAACATATGGTGCAAATCCACCGGGAGGAAGCCCGAGACAGTGCGCCACCCACGTGAACCCACCGAGGAAGACCCATGCTGGTCGGCCATCCACCGAAACCAATGCATCCACCAAGAGCAAACAACTGTGCCAACTGTGCCTATATTACAAATTAACTAATGATTATCATGCTGTCAATGCACGCATAACAGCAAATATAGAAAGTGACTTTTGAGAGGATTGAGAAAGAATAGTTGCGTTAACAAAAACTGCACAAACCTGTTGCAATGTCAATTTTTTACAAATAATATCCTTGCCAACTCGGATTCTATGCGTAGATACAGCTTGCATTAGTTCATATGGAGCAAAACCCATCAACCTGGTAGCACTGGTTAAAGCTGCAACAAGGAATAAGATCTCACATAAATAAGCATCTTATAAAGACAACATAATAACAACAAGCACTTACATGAAAAACAAATGCTAACTAAAGATTTAACTTAAAACAGATTCAACAAAACAAGTTATTTTAGCAGGCATAAGACAAATGATGATGATGAAAATCATGGATGATGAGGTCTTCAGAGCACACATACCTTCATCGGCAGATGCCTCCACATGATTTTCTTTGTCAATTACTTGAAATGATATATTTCCCAACCATAAAACTGCAGCAAGCATTGCAAATGCTTGCTCTTGCTCTTCTTTGCAAATTTGAACAATGTTCATGGCTTCCTGCAGAAATGCAGAAAATATTGCTTAAAGGCCAATGAGACAAATTAAGCGGTTAAAAAAATTGCTACACTATTGATGGTACATTAAATATAGTCTTTTGAATTTACCGTAAGCTTTTGGAATTTCTGAGCATCATTAACACCATTAATCACCAAGCACTCACTCTGGCCTAGATAGTTGTACTCATTAGCTGTTTTAAGATTCAATCTCTCTGCAAAGACACGATTCCAAGGATCATAAAAATGTTTCACAAATTCAATCCAGTGAACAAAAGACCTGTGGCTGGAATAACTTTAGCAACCCAGAGCTTTAAATGATATGATACAATATAATAACCCAAGAGGCATTTGAATAAGGGTTCACAATCACACCATGAGGTGTTCGTTGAGCCACAGAGGACCATTCGCTTATCACACCACTTACCCCCGAAACTTGAAGCCTGGTTTCTGGAGCCCCATGTTCGATTTGACAGAAGAGAGTAAGCCTTAGCATCGCTTAGATCCACTTTACACCCTTCTACTTGACACCTTGGAGGCTAAGCCCCTTGCACCATTCCACTAGCCCTGCCCTTCCTACCCAACCCGGATGAGCTTGAAGACCCTTCACCGGACTTGGACGATGTCCCCATGATTGCAGTGGCGGATGCGGCGGCGGAAAAGGAGATCTTTTTCCCGGTGTTGAAGTCGTTGAGTGACTCGGCGGAAGAGTTGGTGGCAGAACCGCCTGACTCAGTCAAAGAGCCCGAACCCATCTCCATGAGCTTTCCTAGTGCCCAACCATGGGGTTTTGCTTTTGTAGAAGTTTTTGATATGGTTTACCCTATTGTATTAGGGTCTTCGTCGAAGAATAAGAGGACCATCATGTTGAGAGTGGCGCCGTATGTGCGTGAGAGGGAGAGATGAGATTGAGAGAGCTGCCAAGAGAGGCTGTTGGAGAATAAAGGGGTTGTGCGGCTGTGTTTGGTATTTTGTGTGCGTGAGTTTAGTTTAGGTTTAGTTAAATTTAGGTTTCATATTAATTGTTTTGGTAAATTAATTTATAATCCCCCAAACTTGAGCACCATTTTGTAAATCCCTAATTTAATTCATGATTTGTATGTTGAATTTTACGTTTATTTAAATTTAGTCATTAGTTTAAAATGTATATGCATGTTTAATAAATTTATAGTTTGGTATGTTATATTTTAATTTTTGTATTTCAATCACATTTGTTTAAATTTTCTTATTTGTTTTAAATGTTCAGGTGTCATTTATGTTATTTTTCATATTATTTTAGCTTAAACCGAATAGGATCAACTGCACATAAGACCCTATAGTTTATGCGCATTTTGTATTTAAGTCATTGGTTTAATTCCAATTTTGTATATTTATTTTAGTCTCTGTTTAGGATTGTTTTCTTTAATTAGTTGTGTATATTTATTTTTCATGTTGATATGTTTATGTATAAGTATGCGAATGATTTATTTAGGAGTCACATAACATCTTTTTCATAATTTGTATGTTACCTTCATGCGCATAACTTAAATCTAAACCCTAAACACTAACCCTAACATATAAACCCTAAACTCTAAAGTCTAAAACCTTAAATCATATCGCATAAACTCTAAACTCTAAACCCTAACACATAAACCCTAAAACCATAAACTATAAACCTTAAATCATATAACATAAACCCTAAACCCTAACCCCTAACCCTTAATACCTAAACCCTAAACTATAAACCTTAAATCCTATCACAAAAACTCTAAACCATAAACCCTAAACTCTAAATCTTAAATCATATCACATAAACTCTAAACCCTAAACCTTATAACATAATTAGAAGGAATGAGATGACTTAGTGAAAGGAGAGAGAGTATACTTGTTTTTGATATTTTTTAAATTATTAATATTTAAATTGAATCATATTTTTTTATTATATTATATTTATTATCAAATAAAAAATTAGTTATGATGTAAGTACAATATAATATCTTGTTATTAAATGCTCAAACCCTTAATATTTATGATATTTGAACTCGAAACCTCAAAATATAACAACATTTTAAAAAATTAGTTATTACAAATATTATCATTAGAAATATATTAAATATTTTTCATTAGATAAATAATTTTTTTATTAATTTAAAATAAATATAAGAAAATTTATTCAAAAATAATTTTTAACCATTTTCATTCAAGAATTTTTATTAATCAATAATGTATTTTTAATATATTTTTAATAATGTAATTTTAAAAAATCTAAAATTATAATATAACATTTTTTCGAGCTGCTCACGAGCTTTTCGAGTTGAGTATCGAGTAGCTCGTTTCGGCTCGTTAAGAACTTGAGTCGAGTTCGAGCTCGAGTCGAGTCCATTCGGTCCGAGTATTAATCGAGCCAAGATCGAGTGATCTCGAGTAGCTCGCGATCTGTCTCGTCTCATTTACATCCCTATTCTCGAGAATAAAGCACAAGTTTATCATTATGGAATCGATCGATGATTCTGATAATCCTTATTAAAAACTGATTTTGTAAAATTCGTCAACATTTGAAACAACTTTGACAATTATTGTATAAAGCAACTCATATTTCTAAATAAATTTTCGAGAACCTAATTTTACTGCTTTAATTTAATTTACACAGACATTCAAAATTATGCCATTAAGTAAACATATAAACTCTAATTATATTTTAAAGTCTAGTCATATATATATATATTGGTTGTCCTCCCGATTTTAAGGCTTCGTCTTAATTAATCCGGGCCGACCCGCATCACACTTGGTTTTAGTAGGTGAGTCTTCTAGTAGTAATTTTCGGCATATATAAGGATTTGAACTCAAAATCCTGCTTAAGTGATATCAAACTACTTACTACTTGAATCAATCTTGTTGGTAAATTCTAGTGATATTTTTACCTATAATTCAACCACAAGTTTTACTTACGAGATATTAAACGTCATGTCTTTGACCTAATAGATGTTGACATATGTATGAGGATAAAACTATTTCTAATCCCTAATTTTAATAATTTTTAAATTTGGTCCTTGACTTTTTTTATTTATACTAATAGTTGAATTTGATCTTTTTGATTACATAATAATCTGAGAGTATGTCATGAACTAAAAATAGACCAAAATCTGAATTCAAGATTAGTTTGGACCGAAATAATTCAAGGATCTAATTAAGAAAAAAATGACAAATTGAGGTAGCAAAAGTTGCATTATCCCTATATATATATATTATTATGCATTGGTTTCAACGTTGGCAGAAACGGGTCGGATTTGTGTCGTTTCTATTTTATTTGGCAGTGAGAAGTCAATTGCTCAAATTCTTTACTGGTAGTATGTACTAAGAGAAAATCTGAGTAATAAAAGAAATTAATAACAGGGGGGAAAAAGTACTGGAGAAATGAGTTTTGTCGTGTATGCGATGTCGTTTAGGACACAAAAGGTCAGCTTCTGCTTGGAATTTTATGGCTAACTTTGATCAACTTATGTTAAAATTCGATTAATACTAAATGAACTTAAATTCAAACTTAATTTAAATTTAGAACAAATTAAAACGAATTACTTAACACTTGAAAAACCCACGAATAATTTAAAATAATAATACATTAAAGTTTTAATTTTAAACTATAATTTCAATGGTTTCATTGGAACATGTGAAAAGTATGTACATATTATTGTATATGTCTGACCTTCCACATTAACTAATAATGAGAAATCAAAGCAGCAGTCTCTGCTCATAAAAAGGACTGTTTTCCCCTTTGTTTTCGTTGTTAGGTGGAATTATCTCATCCTTTTCAAACTCTACACTCATTTTTCTTTTGTTTTGCAGCATTTTTGGACCTTTTAAATTTTAAAATTCCTTTTTATTTAGTTTTTACAAATTCATAAATACAAAAAAAAATAACAAAATTTCACTGAATAAAAACGAACATTTCATCTTAGTAATAACAACATTTTACTGAATAACATTATTTCATGGGTAATACGGTTCAAAGAGGTAGGAATTATTCATTACTTAAAAGATATATGGAGATAATATTCCCAATATTTTAAAAAATATAATCCACCGAGTGATCTTGGTAATAGAAAGGAGTGTTTTTATCTCTAAAGATTTCGAATACAAATAATTATGCATGTAGGGTGTGTGTATATCATTAATAAATAAAAATGATTTTGAACAGATACTACTTTTATAACTATAATATTATTTTTTTACGTAAATCAAGCACAACTTTTAACTATTGTATGATGTAGGGTATTTAAATTTGAAGCAAGAAAATTTAAATAAGATGCTAAACACAATCACACACGATGCATGGCGTCATATTAAATTCTGCTTCTTTTTCTACAGATCATAGACCTGCTTGCCAGTGAACTTTACCTCAATAGGGCTAACATTCTTCCCTATGCTCCTAAAGTTCTGCCCCACTCCTTGTCGACCAGGGTTCACCTTCTCAGGGTACACACCATCTTTGGGGTGCAAATATTGGACCTCACCATTAGGGAATACCCTATAAAATAGGTACTTAATATTGTACTTGGACCTAAGCCTAGTTCCCAGAGCCAAGCACTGCTCTTTTCTAGCCAACTTTAGCAAGTTCGGACCTTGTCTCATGATCGCTGCACCGCGCCCGTCGGCATCTCGAATATTTGTTCTTTGGGTGACTCCCATGTGATCACATAGAACTCTTCTACTTACGCCTTACGTAAAAGTCCACCCGTGCTGCCTCTGAAGATCGGTGACGGGTGTTCGGATCGAGCTTGGGTGGGGTGAAGCCGACAGGGGCTTTGTCGCAGTCGTCAAGTCGGATTTCTTCTCGGTTGCTTTGGCCTTGATGATGGTACGTCTCGGGGACTTGAAGGTGGGGAGTTTTAATAGTGGTGATTGCTTCCATGGGACGTCGACTTGGTTGCAGGTTTTCGGCGCACGAAGGGTTGTGGGAGTGAAGAGGGAGGCTTGGGTTGCCATTGCCAATATATATTGAGAATAAGTGGAAATTTGGTTACGTTGGAGATTAGATAATGGAGCAAAAGGGAATAAGTGGTGGGAATGTTGGGTAATGGATAAGGTGGGATGGTGTTGGAACAATTAGAGTACGTGATTTTGATACTTAGGCTTACCCATACCTCACCGTCCTGTCTTGAAGCTGGAATTCCCTCTTTTCATTATCCCTTGTTCTTAATTTTTACTTTGTTTAATAAATCATTTAGTTATTCAAAAATAATTTTTTCAAATAATTGTTTTTAAAAATAAAAGCGAATAATAGATTCATACATCCAAACCCATTATCCGACTAAGTAAAGTAAATTTAGATACTCTTTATCTGAATCTATTATTTTGTAAAAGTAAAATAATTTTAGGTAATAAATAATCGATTTTTATCTTGATATTTGAATTGTACTCGTGAGTTTGAGTTTCCTTAAATGAATTTTTAAATAATATACTTTTAATTTTTTTAATACAACTTCATGTATACATTTTTAAGTTTAAGGTCAATTAGATTTTGATTTATTGGATTTGTTTCCGAGTTCGAATCAAAACTGACAGGTCTATTTAGAAATGACAATTCGAATTGCAGATTTCGCTTTTACGAATTCGAATCCTAAAATTACTAGTATCGCGAATTCAGAATGGATGCGGATACACACCCCTAAACATCATTGTCTTCATTTTCTACTGAACTATGCTTAATGTCATGAACAAGATTCTTAAGAACTCAGAATCTCTAAACAAGCAAACTCCGAGTCAAAGAGGGCAGCAAATCAGCGTGCACAAAAGCATTGCGTGCCCCGGAAGAAAGGGTGAAAAGAAGAGAAAAACAGCTGTTTCCATTGGATTTTCAATCACCAAACATATTATCAGTGACCATCTATTTCTGTAGAGAGCTAAAGTTCTGTTACTATGGCTATATGTACAAAGCACCAAATGATATGCCAAAGCAATACCAATGATAATGCGGTAGGGAGAACAATTTACAGCTGATATATCAGGTTTTACTTTCCACAAGTGCTGCTGTCGCAAGGGTCTACCTTTATTATAAAAGGCCGGCGAAGATCCACGGGTTCTTCGCAAAAACCGGGCAATTCTGGCGTTGAGCCTACGATGCAATCTACATCCTCACCTTCAGCCAACGCTTTGTCTAGAGCCGTTTTTGCGACTTTAGTCACACAAACCATTAAAACCACTGCATGTAATATTATCACATAAGATTCCATCTCATTTTATTTAAACTTAATTACAAAAATACAGATAGTGAATATAGGTTATTCAGGTCAGTATGTGCCTCCCCCAAATGGGCTTGGAAAAAGGACTTCTAGAAGTTCTAGGGCACGGCCTGACTCAATCTGGCTCATGGATACCTCTACTGAATATGCATCATGGACTTGAAAAACAACCATGAATGGTTTTTATGTGTTTTATCACACAGCTTGCACTAATTCGAAATTTAAGTTTGCATGCATTCACAAATGGCTGCTACTTACCAGACACAACAAGGCTCGCTATAAGAAATGCCTGCATTCATGGAAAAGTAAAAAACATGGATTAGAATACATAACAAAAATGAAATGAAGCAAATCCAGTACATCTTTATTATCCTAATCGGGATCGCCAAATACTAACAAGTAAAATGACATGAAGCAAGTCCAGTACATCTTTATTTTCCTGGCATAAAACGTACCTCAGTCCAAATCACTTTAAATAAAAAGAAAAAATGGTATATAAACTATAAAGAATAAAATAACATACCCAATGAGTGGTTGAAAACTCATTCCACCCATGTGTCACATATGAAAGATCCTTAACTGTTGTTCCGACGTAAACCAAAGCAAGAGTTATTGGCTGTAACAAAACATGAATCTCGATGTCAAATCCCTAGTATAACAAAAATACCATAAACAGATATTATTCGAAAGAATGTTAGGAAGTTTAAATAGATGCAGTACCACCATCCCTAACCAGGAAGCCAGCATGTATTCTCCAAATGAGATGGGGGTCACAGACAACAGATAATTCAACACACTGAAAGGGACTAAAGGTGCAAGTCGAAGCAGCAAAACAATCTGTTCAATAACAGAAGTTTAGAAATCTGAAAGAAATTTCAGCAGTTAATGAAACAGTCAATCCAAATAGCTGGACTTCCTATCTTGGGAGTTGTCATGTTAAAAAAAAACTTGGTACAGAAGTGTTGCCATAGAGACCATCAGCGAAAACATAAATAATGTCATCGGACTGTGACAATACTTTTGTACAGAGTTTTTTTAATCAGGACTCTACTGTCGTATATTCAGGCCTTTTAATCAGGCTGCTGTTATCAGTTTTAAACATATGAAAAAACAGAAAAGAGAATTACTCTCTTTTTTGGAGAACTCTCCTTTATAAAACTTACACGTAATAATTAAGCTTTTACTTGTTTTAATACTCATGTAACCAAACGTTGCATAAGTGTTATTTACACTAATAACAACAAATCATATAAATTTAGGAAATGCTAGGTGGTGCCTTAAAACAAAGCCTTATAAAGCTTATAAAACAGGAATCATCTTTAAAAATCAATATGAAGCATGCAAACCTTAAAGCCAGATCTCTGTATTGCAATTGCTACTAACCGGAACTGAGGATAATCATTAAGCTTCGAAACAACCAATGATTTCCCAATCTGTAAAAGAGCATCATAATTCTAATAAAATGAAAATTGAATAAGACACATAAAAAATAATTAAAAAGGGAAGAAATACAAAGAAGGATAGGAAGATTAGTGAAAAGAGATATTTAACACATCAATGAGTTGTTGTTTTTCCCAATGAAAGGCAAGTGGTAAGATATAACACTGAGAGTTCCATAAGAAATCTATGAGCATACTGTTTTGCCTAGAAGGAACGCTGCTCCTGCACCAAGAGTTGAACCAACAGAATCTGCAATGAAGCCCACAAGCAATCCAAAAAGATAACCACCACCGAGCTGAAGGATAAAACACAATGCCTTGTAATGCTAAAACCTTATTTATTTCTCATTTAATGTTTGGAAGGAGATTTTTTGATGCAGAGGTACATGGCAGAGTAAAATACGTCAAATAACAAGAAGAAATCACATAAGAAAGGTCACAAATAAATAAGAAAACAAGTTAAAAGATCACAGGGATAGTTTAATTTCTCATTGATGGTAACAATGTAAATCAAACATAATTCAAAGATTGCTTCCCTCTAATAAATGAGAAACAAGATTATAAGGAAAGAAATGTTGCTCTTACAATTGTCCCATAGGTAGAGTAGGTTTTAACAAGTGTCAAGTTAACAATTCCTTATCAGATTCAGATACTTCAAGATGGCACTAAACCAGGTTTATTTACAGGTAACTAACTCTAGCATGTTGATCAACACTGCCTAAAAGAGCTGGCTGCATACAATAATGTGCATAAAGAACTAACTGGAATTGTAACATGCTTTGCATCCGAAATCAATAGATAAAGATAATTTACACTGCTTGGAGCGTTGGACACCATGTCCACTGCACATAAGACGACCAGTTGACCACTAAGAATGAATGCAATAATTAGGATCATTACTCCAGATACCACAAAGATGTACAAACCAATCAGTAATTTAAAAGGGAAAATGGAAAAGGATAGAAATTTGCATGATGTTACAAAATGGTAATAAATTTGATCATACTAAAGTATTGGGAAAGGAGTTTAAAACTTACAGTAAGGACTGAAGCTGGAACAGCCAAGATTGTCAGAGGAATATAAGCGACAGTCCTGAACATCAAGTAGGCGAAATGAATTGAAAGCCAAAAAACCCTAAAACATCGCAGTACAGTCATTTAGAGCCATTTAGTTCACCACAAACAACAGGCTAAGATTGATATTCATTGAGGGGCATTCTATTCATTCAATGCTGGAGAACACGTACAGTTACTTGTTCCTATGTTTCGCATAAACAGGATGATCCAGTTTCCATTTAGACTTGCACAATTACTATATAATATAAGATTAAATCAAAACAACAAACTTTCAACTCGGACCAGATTTGACAAAGTCTCGAAAACAATTTAAATTAGATTCTGTAGATTAAATATTACAACAATTAGTACAAAAAATGAATTCCATAGTAAAGACTTAAGCAAGCAAAATTCTTGATGCTAATTGAATTATTGAAAACAGAGAGATGTCGGGTTCAACTGACTTACAGCACAAGTGGACCCCAAGGTCCAAGATCATTATCAACCCATAGCAAAAAATCCTGCAGAATCTGCGAGGAAAACTTATTTTCAGCAATACACAGAATGTACCAAAATAACAATCAGGGTTAGTTTAAGATGAACATTTAACATTTGGAAAGTGGGGAGAACCGATATTTAATTGCTAAGAATTCATAACCCTAGATAATTTAGGATTCCCCCCCGTAACTTTTGCCTTGAATTAAACCAACTTAGCATTTCGCAGTAATTTCGGGCAATGAGATACATTTAAGCATATAAATTGTGTTCATATTCTCATGTCCAAAATGTCAATAGACAGGAAGTCATACACATACAGTTTACAAAACGAGCAAGAAAGATAATCCATTGAACTAGAACAAACCTCACGTTTCAAATCTTCAATCAATACAAACACCCAAACATCCACAATTTGTCACTAGAAAGCAATAACAAGAAAACGCAGACTAAAAATACCAAAATAAACATAAAAGCAAGAAAGATCAATCAAAAGAAGAAAGAAAAAAAAAGAAATACCCAGATGAGAAAACACAAAATTTAAGCAAAATTACGAATAAGAAAAGAGAACAGAATACACTCAGGTAAAAAAAAGTTTGAAAAGGAGCAAACCGCTTCCATAGGGAGCGTGAAACAAGCATAAACAAAAGCAGCGAGAAGAAGGAGAAGAAGAAAGATCCTAAGCGCAAAGGCCCATGTGAAAGCCATTGAAAACCTACACCCCTCCTCCTCGTCGGCGTCGGTTTTAGTATCGAAGATATGTTCGTTTCAACGTTATGCCCTGTATCCTTCTACCGTTACAAGATTTCTTTAAAAAAAAGAATGTTACAGGAAACAACAACGATGTACAACAACCCCTTTTTGCCTTGTGTTTGGAGCTTTTTTTTTTTGAGGTTTTAGCCTAAAACACACAAATATTTCTGGGTTTTGCCTGATTGCTTATATATTTTAAGGGGTTTCTGGAATTTTATGGGGTATTGAAACAGTTGAGAATGATTTGGATGGATATGCTTTACTAGTGTGTAGGAAGCATCGTTTTGTTTTGTTCGATTGTGGGAAATTTAAAACTATTTTCTTCCTGCAAAATTAGAATCCACAAAACAAAATCTAACAAGATCCAAATGTATAATACTATTAAATTTGAAGTTTGGATTTGACACTGTTAAGGATGTATGTATTTCGGTTTAACTAATTTTTTTAATTTTTCAATAAGTTAATTGAGTTTATCAATTTTATAATATTCTAGTTCAATTATAAAATAATATTTGTATTATTTAGTACTAATATGTTATTTTACCACATTCTAATTTAAAGAAATATGTTACACGGATCAATCGTCTCATTAATTAAATGAATAATTGTTATCTCTAGAAATTTCGAATTCGAACATGATATTTTGCATGAGTATTTGAATATTCATTATCAAATGATTAAAAGTATTTCAAACATATACCACCAGGCGCAGAGCCATGATTGAATTACGAGTGAGCAAATTGTTCAATTTTTAAACAAATAAGGTCTTTAGAACTGAATAAATCATGAAATTTAAAGGACTTATAGTTTAATTTTGCTAATTTTAAAATTGAATAGTCTTAAAGACTAATTAAACCATAAAAATTGAAGATCAAAACATAATTTAATTTTAAAATTGAAAGGGTCTTAAAAATAATTAAACTAGTAAATTTTGAGAGGGACAAAGACTTAATTATAATGATTTCAAAAATGTTAGTGCCCTAAAATAATTAAATCATCAAAGTTAGAGGAGCAATTGCCCCTCCCACATACAATGTAAATTCATTCCTCAATACTACCTTATAATATCCTAGACAAATAAAAAAATGCTTTCATTTTTTTCCAATAAATTAATTGTGTTTATCCTTAATGATATGTTATTTTACATATTCTAGAAACGATGTCCTGATTAAAACGTAGATAAGATATTGTCTTAATTAATACATATCTTGTTTTGGCCAATTTTCTTAAATAGTTTTTTTTTTTAAAAAAAAATTGGTTCATTCAGTTTTGGTAGTTTATTCATTAAATTAACAATTTTGAAAATTCAAACCAAATAAACCGATCAAATTAAATAAACATTCTTAGATAAATAAATCACCAATACATGTTTAATTAAATAACCATTCTTAAATAAATAAATCACCTATACATATTTAATTAATTAAAGTAAAATATAAAATTTGAAATCCATATATGAAACAACACAATCCAATATAAATACTTGATGACGTTCCAGCTCAGTTGGTAGAGCACAAGATTCTTAACCTTGAGGTCGTGGTATTGAGTCTTATGGAGGGCATTTCATAATTCGGAGGTCTTCTACGGAAGCTGCTCTCAACCTGGTGTTGGGGGCCAGCTTATTATCTTACCTCCTCCTTACCCCATTACATATGGAAACAAGGGACGACTATTTTATATTTTATAAATAAATCTTGAAAAGAGAAAAATATCAATTTTTTTTATAAATAAATATCTCATTCGTTCTACATGAATAAAGTCAAATCGATTTACTCAAATTTAATAATTTATTTGATTTATTCTATTACTAATATATAAAAACCGAACCAACCGAATGCAAAAAACAGTAAAAAGCTATATTGCTGAATATAGTAATGTATAATAAGAACATTAATACATGTTTTGAACTTATAAAGTGAACTAAGTAGTAAAAAGAATGATTGTTCTTCTGAAAAATCCCGAGATCGAATAATTGTATTTGTTGGGTATATATACATAGTTAATAATTAAGAAAGATTTTAAATTGATACTACTATATAATTATTTCAGAAGACTATATATATATTCTGTCTGATCAATGAATATCTCAATTTTCTTTAAAATATAATTATAATATCAATCATAATAACTTAAGCAAATGTAATGATTTCAAATCCAGAAGGAGCATTCATCCAAGTTTTGCAGTCAACAATGGGAGAAGAACAGCCCAAAACAAAGATTACACATGAAGCATATATTAAATATGTAGCTTCTGTTTGTATATGTTCCCCCTTCTTTATATATACAAGCTTCTAAAAGGGGAAAACTTCAATGGTAATTCATGGCGGAGAACTGAATTGCAGTTCACTTACGCCTTACTTGTAAACGAGAAAAACAAAGAAAGGGTGACAAATACCTTCGTCGAATACCTATTCGGAATGCATCGAAGCAGAAAAAATCTCCGTGAGCTGCTTATCCTGCTGTTTTCTCAGATACCTCTGAGCCGTCACATTGACGATCTTGACAAAGAAGTTCATAAGCATAAGCCACACAATGGTGTTCCATATCGACGTAAACGAAAAATCCCACTTACCCTGCAGCGGCAATCATAGAACAGATTTGACTTACTAGGCTGGTCGACTAAAACTCGGGATTAAAATGGATAGATTTGTTGAACTGGCTTATGGGAAGTACCTTAATGATTGAAGTTACAGGAGGCGGGGTAGCCAAGTACTTCTCTTTGACTGAATGAAGTTTTGCTGTGAGTGTGGACAAGAAAGAACCGAATTCGGGTATGAGGCTGAGCACCCAGATCAATTCATTCTCTATCCAGTCCAGGAGTTGATTGTTACAGACAGAGATAATAAATACCGTCTACAAAAAAGGAATCCATAGATACGTCTAAGAAGCTTGCGAAATATGAATCAAGAAAATCAAGCTTCATTAAGAGACAGAAAAGTAGAGAATTCATCTTTGTCCTGTAGAAGTCGATTCCACCAAAAGAGTTGAGGCATATTGAACAATGCCAATATCGACAGAAAAACAATGAATGCAAAGAGAGAGCATCTCAATTGAAGCTCGCTTGTATGTAAAATGCAACGAGAACATCACAATTTACAAACCTGTATGTGAGTTTTAATGATTGCCTTTCCAATCAATGTAGCAAGAAAGAAGGTCCAGAACGGAATCCCAAATTGTCCACACATGATGCCAGCAAGGTCGAATAAAGGATTTGGGATCTGAACATGATTCAGTTCATCATCAGCAGGCATACATAACAAATCAATCAAAACGGGCACAAATGGAATTTACAATCCGCAGTAAAACTTATATGATCTTCAAAATAAAATAAAATAAATAACAAGGGATGGTGGTCAAACACGATTCAAGTTTCTCTATCTTGCTAACACAACATAATACCGCATTTCATAAATTGACGTGGAAATTTGCACATTAAATTTATCTTAGCAACACATTTCTAGCTTGATAATTTTACTGGATTGATATATATGAAATCCTAAACAAGGATTTTATCTGAACAAAATGTATCAGAACATTGTTAATGCCAGTGTGGTTGAAGGTCTAGCTGTGCATTTGTTCACGTGCATGTAGACAATAAAATAGAGATAACAGTCGGACAACCAAATATGCACTAAAAATAAAACATCTTATGCTGCATCCATATTTCAAATTATTCAGATTGATGTCCAACAAATGAAAAGGAATCAGAACTGACCGAGGCGAGCACGAAAATGGTGAAGAAGTTCATCTGTTGAGAGTGGGATAACAGCCAGCGCTCAATCTGTCGCAGGCGGGTAGCTATGACTCCATTATCCTCACTTGAGGAAGAATCCAATTCTTCCAAGGCATCAATTCTACTGCCAGATACACTAGCTGGATACAGCAGAAGATCAACAAAAGTTGGTTATTCTAAGTTCTAACAGTATGGAGTGCTAGTAGGAAATCCAAACATAAGTCTTTGACAACCACCGAACCAAGAATTAGACAAAGAACAACCAAGGGCATGGAGAAAATGATAAAAATAACATTTTTTTTAAAAAAGTTGTTGGTGATTCTTGGTGGTTCAAGACGTGGGAAAAAGGAGGGTTTTGTCGGTGATGTGTGGTTCACCCCTTCAGGCTTGGCCAGAGAGCTACTGATTGGCAAGGGTCTAGGTGAGAACCACCACCCCACCCACCATCTGAACCACCGAAAACCACCACCCAAATTGTTGTACATCAACAAACATAGCTCGAGCAAATTCAATTAATAAACAACATTTAAAACCTTCAAGTTATTAATCAAACTAAAATGAAACCCATTTTCAAAGAGCATTACAAAAGGCGGAAACAAAGGATGGGATTCATAATATCTTGAGATAATGGGATCAAGGAGCTCCTTTGCACTGTCAGTACCATACAATGTTAAGTTGCATAGTTAGCATTATATCACTTTTTTTTTGATAGAAAGCATTATATCACTTATCAAACCCAATGCAAAAAAGATTGGGGCATCTTCCAGAAATGCCCTCATCAGCATAAACAGATTCTTCTACCAAATCTCGTTATTGTGATAAGGTATATAGAGTAAAGATGGGGCACACACCTGCCCTTGAGATAAAGTAAGGAGGAAGCTCTCCAAGTGCAGTCCCAAGACCCCATAAGATAGCCTCCATCTGCACCTGGGGCAATATGCTGCTAATAGGAACCCTTGATCCATGTGATGATGAAAATAATGGGGGCCCAAACTCTCCGCAGGGTTTATCCAACCATGAAGGACCTCTCTTCAACTGTATCGTATCATATGGAGCACTCTTCAGGTCTATTCGTCCACATTGCATTGCTTTTATGGTAAATAAGGCAATATGAGGACCCAAATAAAGGACAAAAGTGTGCAGACCAGATCCTGGAATAAGAAAGGTGAATTAGAAAAGTACATGAATCTGACCTATTTCTTCTGGTGTTCACGAAATTTCCTTTTGTATCAAAGCAGTATAAAAAAAGCAGATCAGATTTCAGAAAAATTCCTAGGCATATATTAAGTGTGAATAGCAGCAACCAGATAAATGGATTTCCTCCATTTCATCCCGGCAAAATGTTTAAAACACAGCCGTACATCTTATACAACAATCATTAAAGTGCTATCTAATACTCACATTATCCCAGTTT